GCCTGCCAGGAGAGATCCCTGAGTGCGGAGCCAGGAGTGAGCCCTGAGCACCGCCAGGTGTGGCCCTAAATAAGTAAATAAAATGATGCACCTCGTTCTCCCCATTATTCCAATCATTTATTGATTCATTCCTTTGGGGGGGCAGATTGAACCTCGGTTGGTCACATGCAAGGCAGATTTTCTACCTGCTGTACTGCTTTGACCCCATCATTCCTTTTTTTTTTTTTTTTTTTTTTTTTTATTTATTGAATCACTGTGGGCAAGGTTACAAAGCTTTCAGGTTTAGGTCTCAGTCATGCAAATATCAAACACATTTCCCTTTACCAATACTTATTTTTTACCATGAAGAACCCCAATAAAACCCCACCCCCACCCCTCCCCGTCCCTGTGAGGCAGATGAATTCTAGTTAACACTCTATCTGCTTTGATTAGATTCATTGTTTCAATAAAAGATTCACCACTATTATTTAGAGTTTACCCCCCCCCCCAAATCAGACATGCTGAAAAAGCATTGTGAAGTGATTTGCTTTCTACGGCTGGGTTCAAGAATTAAATGTTGGTTTTGGATTTCTGCTATTTTAACTATTGACCCTGGAAGTATTTCTACTGAAAGTCAGATAGTTAAGAAATTGGTTTCTGTGTTACCCATCATTCCTTTTCTACCTTTTAAAAAAATTTCAGGGGCTGGAGCGATAGTACACAGGTTAGGCATTTGCCTTGCACGTGGCAGACCTGGGTTTAATGCTCGGCATCCCATATGGTCCCCTGAGCACAGCCAGGAGTGATTCCTGAGTGCAGAGCCAGGAGTGTCCCCTGAGCATCACACCAGGTGTGACCCTAAAATCAAAAAAAAAAAAAATTCCCTCCCCCTCCCTTCTCTGTGCTGTTCTGGTGCCAGGCACGCCTGTCCCTGGCTCTCGCACACTTGCCGTGGCTGCGGTATTTGCCGGGGACTACTCAGAGGGTCAAGGTTCTCACACACTCGGCTGAGCTACCTCTTCAGTCGTGGCCCTTGCACATGCTTTCTGGGACCGCCCTGAGCTAGGGGTGTGGAGCTCAACAGGGCTCACTGTGTGATGACACGAGTGCTTGCCAGAGAATGTGGTAAAGGTAAAAAGGTAAAGGCCCTCCCGTTGATCGTCGATTTGCTCGAGCGGGCCCAGTAACGTCTCCATTGGAGACTTTGTTGTTACTGTGTCTGGCATATCGAATACTCTCGGTAGCTTGCCGGGCTCTCCGAGAGGGGCGGAGGAGTCGAACTCGGGTCGGCCATGTTGGCCGCTTGTAAGGCGAACGCCCTACCCGCTGTGCTATCGCTCCAGCCAGAGAATGTGGGGCTCACCCTTTTTTTTTGTTTTTCATTTGGGGTCCTCAGTCGAGGGCCATACCCCTTTTTGTGACACCTGCACATATGTGCCAGACCATGCCTGGCACATGTGGGATGCCAGGGACTCAAACTCATGACCATATACTTGCAAGGCAGGTCCTCTAAGACTTCGGGCTATTTTCCCTGCCCCTCCCTAGATGCCCTTCTTAAAAATGAGGCAGTGGGGCATAAGGAGAGTTTCTTAATAGAGACTTGGAGAGGTCACCCCACGAGTAACTAACGGAACTGAGGTTCAGAACTGGGCCTCTGCTGTGTCATTTTTCAACAGCTGTGCATTTTATTTTTTTCTTTTTGGGTCACACCCGGTGATGCACAGGGGTTACTCCTGACTTTGCACTCAGGAATTACTCCTGGCGGGATGCCGGGAATCAAACCCAGGTCGGCTGCGTGCAAGGCAAACGCCCTACCCGCTGTGCTATCGCTCCAGCCCCAGATGTGCATTTTTATTGGCCATTTGTGCCGGACTGCGAAGTACCTGCCGCCTTCGTGCTTGGAGCCAGAGAGATGAACTCGTCAGAATCTCTGGGCATAAGGGGATTTATAGACTAGCGCGGAGGCAGATAATCAATCCATCTAATGAAATCTCCGATGAACGATGCTGTGCCTGAAGTAAATCCAGGAAACGGCTGGAGAGAGATGGAGAGGGGCAGGGATAGTTTCAGATTTTGTGGGTCCAGACAGCTGTTCCGAATCTGTGTCACAGAGCAGAAACGTGCTGGCAGCCATGTGGGAGTCTGCAGCAAGAGGAGGGGTCCTGAAGGGAAGCCCGGGGGCTGCTTGTCCCCTCAGGAGACTGGAGATGATGAAGAGGCCGGTGACCTTGACTGGTTATGGGAGGATTTTGCAGTCTGTTTTTTTAAAATTTGTTTTTGTGCCATATCCAGCTGTGCTCAGGGCTTACTCCTGGCTCTGTGCTCAGGGATCACTCCTAGTGGGGCTCAGGGTTCTACGGGGTGCTGGGGATTGAACCCAGCTCAGCCAAATGCAAGGCAAGCACCCTCCCCGCTCTGCTCTCGGGCCCAGGAGCTTCCTTTTTCTTCCGAATGTGGCTGGCTGTCTCGGAGAGTTTCATGTTTTCTTTTTAACAGGGGCGGTGCCCCCATAGTTGGCTGGCAAGAGATTGGAGGCCTGGGACCACTCCTGGCAGGGCTCAGCCTGGTACCTGCAGGCAATGCTCAGGGGACCACCAGGGCCATACTCTGGGCTGCCGAGAGTTTAACCCAGGGCCTTACACATGCTAAAGAATGTCCTCTCCACACACTTGTACTTGCTCCCTGGCCCATAGCTTTGAGAGTTTTGAGTGCTGTGTCTGATGAACATTTTCTTTTCCTCCTAAGATTTTCATGGTTTCCTTCTAGGACTATTTTCATTGGCACTACACATCATGACCAGCGGAGAGGGTGGTGTCATTTTGTTGTAGTAGTTGGTGTTTGTGTTGTTTTGGTGGCCATCTGCAGCAATGCTTAGACCTTATTTCTTGCTCGGTGCTTAAGGGATGACAAATGGTTCCCAGGATGGAGCCGAAATTGGCCATATGCCAGGCAAGTGCCTTACCCGCTGTACTATCTCTCTAATCTCCTGAGGATTTGTTTTTATTAAGACCCTTGTACTAATTCCCAAAGGAATTGTCTAAAAATCCTGAAATTATCAGCTTCAGCATGCAATTAGCTTTGGTGCATCTGATATTATTGCTAGTCCTGTCTGCTCATCCTCGATTATTTTGAAGCAGATATCAGAATGTTCTTATTTCATCATGAATATTTCAGAATATATTTCTAAAGGATGAAGACTTCAGGGACAGGAGAGGTAGCTCAATGACTTGACTACAAGTGTTGCGTGCAGGAGATCCAGATTTGATCACCTGACACTATATGGTCCCTAAGTATCACCAGGAGTGACCCCAACCCCAGCACATAGCTTGGAGTAGCTGCCAAACTCCTCACGATATGGTCCCAAAACCCCCCCAAATTTTTTTTTAAATAAAGAAAAAAACAGTTGAAGGCTTTGTAAAATGATAATAGCTTTACACATTGAATAAACCTCTAATACCATAAAGTAACTAAATAGTGTCTGATTTTTTTCCATCTCAAAATCTTTGAACATTTGTTTGTTTGGGGGCCTTACCTGGTGGTGCTTAGGGTTTGTTTTCTCCCGGCTCTGTGCTCAGGGGTTGTTCCTGTCAGTGCTCAGGGACTATATGCTGTGCCCAGGATCAGTGAATGTTTTGTTTAAATCAGGATCCATCGAGTTGGTTTAGAGATTTCACATGTTTCTCTCCATCTGTTGGTGTTCCTGGCGCTTTTTCCTCCTGGTGATTTATTTATTGAAGAAACTGGACTTTTGCCTTTCCTGCAGTTTCCTGTGAGTTTTATTGATTGCATCCTTAGAGGTGGTCCTGCTCATTTCTTGCTCTTCTCCCTTTCCTGTGAACTTGTGTATTCAGAGACTTTTTCAAGGTTCAGATCCAGTTTTTTGGTTTGCTTGTTTTTGAACCACAACCACTGGTACTATTCCATCTCCTTGTTCAGGGCTCACTTCCGGCAGTGCTCGGGGAAGGAGGGGACCTTATGGTGCTGGGGATGGACTCCCATTCCAGTCCTTCAAGCTTCTCCATCTCCCCCAAACTAGTTTACTGACAAGCCCACTTACATAGTCATAGGAACTTTGAGAAGGCCCATGTTTAGTAATCTCTTCTGGTGGTTAGCGGAGTACTTAATTTATTCATTCATTTAAAATTTTCTTGTTTTATTTTCATTTTGGGGGGCCACACCCAGTGGTGCTCAGGGCTCACTCCTGGCTTCCCTCAGGGAGACCTAGGGGATACCAGGAATTGAACCCGGATCTGCCATGTACAAGGAAAATGTCCTGCCCCCTGTACTATTTCCCTGGTCCCTAGTACTTAATCATTTAAAGTATTTATTTCAGGCATCAATTTGAAAAGATAAATTCATTCTCATGTTCCTTGCAGCTCTTAGTATGATAGCCAAGGTTTGGAAACAACTCAAATGTCCAACAACAGGTGAATGGAGAAGCAAATAGTAGTATATTTACACAGTGGAATAGAATACAGCTGTACTAAATGATGAACCCACGCAGTTCACAGCAGTTGAATGGAACTGGGGATTATCACATAAGAGAGAACAGGCTGTGCCCCTGAGGCTCTGTTGGTGAAGTCAGTGCTGGAGGGGCAGTGACTTTCTCCGCCCCCTCAGTAAGTGAATTGGCACAAACACGCTGTACATTACCTGAGTTCTGTTCTCTTGGTCATGGAAGACACGTCTAGGGACTGGATACCTTGCATGCTGCTGACCTGGGTTCTATCCCCAACAGACTCTGTTTGGTCCCCTGAGCCCCTGCCCAGAGTGATCCCTGAGCACAGAAGCCAGGAGTTAGCCCTGAGCACGCCAGATGTGGTCCCAGAGCAAGCCAACAAGCAAGCAAACAGATAAACACCTGGAACTGTATTCACTCAAGAGATGCGAAGTGAGGGGAGGCTCGGGCTCCTTGTGAGTCCTTCTGTACGTAGCCGCGTTTCTTGGTGTGGCTGATTTCACAGTTCCCCTTCAGATGTGTCTGCGTTGCATTTGTAAGAGGATTCTCTCTCTCCTCTTAGGACCTCATCTTGCCCAATGGCGGGACTCCAGCGGGTACTTCAAGTCCGGCTTCTTCGTCTTCTCTTCTCAACAGACTCCAGCTGGATGATGACCTCGAGGGCGAGACCAGAGATCTCTTCGTCACGGTGGATGACCCCAAGAAGCACGTCTGTACGATGGAGACCTACATCACCTATCGGATCACCACCAAAGTAGGTCCCTTCTCCATCTTCTGACCCCAGTGAATGCTCTCAGAGGATTGGTTTATTGCTCTCATTCCCAGCCTGGCTTCTCCTTCCCTATGTACAGCTCAGTCCACCCCCCCCCCTTTTTTTTTGCACTTGTCAGTGTGGCTTTTTGAGAGAGTGGATATGTTCACAAGGAAAGGATTGTGTGTAAACTGTTCTATTGCAAAGCAAAAGAGGAACTGTGACAGCCAGTATTTCAAGCAGAACATCTAATCCCCATACTTCTAGTTTTTTTTGTCCTGATCCTTTATAAGATGTTATGATTACCTGACCTTAAAATTAATGAATCATTTTATCGACCCAAATGCCCCCTGTGATGAGCCCATGGTTATATTTTGATGCGGCTGGCGTTGAGGATTGGGGTAGAGGAGTTCTAGAAGGTTGAGGCCCAATAGTTACTGACTTTGTGCTACAGATAAGAGGCAGAGGCCTGATGGACCATTGGCACAGCAATCCAGATAGATAGATAGATAGATAGAACGATCGTTCTGTAGTTACGATTTTGGAAAAGGAGAAACTGAAGCAGAAAGTTTATGTAATTATTTATGGTTGCAAAGTTGGTAACCAGGGAAGACAGTAGAGGGATTAAGGTGCTTTCCTTGCATGTGGCTGACCTGGGGTTTGATCCCCAGCTCCTCACACCTGGGTCCCTGAGCCTTGCCCTGAACATAACCGGGTTTGGCCCATAATCTGGAAACAAGAGAAAAGAGAAAAGATGTTGGTAACCAGAATTCTAACTTGACTTTGTAGGGACTAGAGAGACCATAACATTTTCGGTTTATTTGTATTTTGGTTTGGGGGCCACACGTGGCAGTGCTCAAGGACCACTCCGGACTGAGTACTCAGAGTCACTCCTGACAGTGCTCGGGGACCATGCAGTGCTGGGTCATCCTGGCCTCCCGCGGCGTGCAAGGCCTGTGCTCCAGCCCTTTGAGCTCTGTTCTCATCCTGCTTATTTTGAAATTTCATTTTTTTTAAATTAATTTATTTATTTATTGAATCACCGTGGGAAAGGTTACAAAGCTTTCAGGTTTAGGTCTCAGTCATGCAAATATCAAACACATTTCCCTTTACCAAAACTTATTTTTTACCATGAAGAACCCCAATAAAACCCCACCCCCCACCCCTCCCAGTCCCTGTGGGGCAGATGAATTCTAGTTAACACTCTATCTGCTTTGATTAGATTCATTGTTTCAACAAAAGATTCATCACTATTATTTAGAGTTTACCCCCCCCCCCCGCCCCAAATCAGACATGTTGAAAAAGCATTGTGAAGTGATTTGCTTTCTACAGCTGGGTTCAAGAATTAAATGTTGGTTTTGGATTTCTGCTATTTTACTTATTGACCCTGGAAGTATTTCTACTGAAAGTCAGATAGTTAAGAAATTGGTTTCTGTGCTCTGGAGTCGTGGCCGTGCTGGAGAGCCGCTCGTGGGGGGCAACTGGTGGCCTCGGTAGGGCGTGAAGGGCGGACCGAAATGCCCCCCTTCCCATGAGGTTTTAGTCGCCCCCACACCCCCGGCTCATACCTGCTGTCCACAAGGCTCCCATGTGGCCGCCATCTTTCTTTCCAGAGAGGAGAGGGCGAATGGGGCAACACCCTTTCCCCTCCGGCAGACTTGACGGCCTGGATTAACGCATAGTCCGTTCACTTTTCTGCTCCAAGCTGCCGGGTTCTGCATTAAGTCCTTGTGCTTCTGGGGCCGTGGCCGTGCTGGAGAGCCGCTCGCGGGGGGCAACTGGTGGCCTCGGTAGGGCGTGAAGGACGGACCGGAACGCCCCCCGAACCATGAGGTTTTAGTCGCCCCCACACCCCCGGCTCATACCTGCTGTCCACAAGGCTCCCATGTGGCCGCCATCTTTCTTTCGAGAGGGAGGAGGGCGGAAGGGACCAACACCCTTTCCCCTCCGGGCAGACATGATGGCCTGGATTAACGCATAGTCCTTTCACTTTTCTGCTCCAAGCTGCTGGGTTCTGCATGAAATTTCATTTTTAATTCCCTCCTCTGAGCTGCTGCTGAATGGCTAGTGTTTGCTGTGGGTTTGGGGCTCGCACACGCCCTGGTCACCGTGCTGACCAGGACTCCACATGGCTGTGGTGTTCATGCACTTTTTTTTTCTCGGTTGTGCGGCTCACACATTTTGTTGTGGAGCTCGTGGTGGTGGGGGAAGGGTCACACTCTTAGTTGAGGTCCCTGCGCACACTTGATGGCCGTGCTTTCCCCAACCCCGCTTTGTTACGGCGCTGGGGCTGGCGCTTGGTTTGAAGGTGGCCGTGCTGGTGACTGGACTCAGGGCCTCTTAGGCCTATCCCTGGGGCTCTCATTTCAAACGCTTTAAACCTTGTACTCTTTACCTCGTTCCATTGATTTAAAAGAGATTACTTTGAAATTCATGGATCATTTTTAACCTTTGGAGACCTTTTTTGTTTTTTGAGCCACACCCTGTGGTGCTCAGGGCTTAGTCTTAGCTTTGAGCTCAGGGATCGCACGTGATGGAGTTCAGGGGACCAGACAGGGTGCTGGGGATCGAAACCAGGTCTCCAAGGCAAGTGCCCAACCTGCTGTGCTGTCTCTCGCGCCATTGGAAGTTATTGGTTCTGCCTTTGCTATTCACTTTGGCCTGGGATCACTGGAGAGCCTCTTAGGACGGCAGAGTCTCCAGCCCCGGCGCAGCCCCCTAAAACAGAGTCTGTACTAACAGGGTCCCGGGCCAGGATCCCCCAAGTCGAGCTGTGCTAGGCTGGGGAACACTGAGCTCTCGCTGGGGCTAGCCCTGCCTCTGCTGCTCCCCACAGCTGCATCTGTCCACGGCATTTGTAGGTTTGAGATCCACAAAGCACCTTTCAAGTAATCAGATGAAAAGCACATGCACACCCACCCCACGGTGGGCTCTGCACTGCCCCCCTTGCTTTGGCTGCCCCATGTTGCCTGTCCCATCCTCATACTAATCCTGTGAGATGGGGCCAGCCACAGCAGGTGTGCCCAGAAGGTGAAATCATGAAATCCTGCAGGATGGGCACGCTCATGAAAATAGCAATTTTGACGATCCCAAATACACTGTAATTGTAGCTTGGAGCAGGGGCTTGGGGCCTCGGCAGTACTAACATTTGGACTGCATAATTCTTTTTATTTATTTATCTATTTATTTGATGGGGTGGGGGTGGGGGTGGTCACAACCGGCGGTGCTCAGGGCTTACTGCTGGCGCTACACTCAGGGACCACTCCCGGTGGTGCTCCAAGAACCGTATGGGGTGCCAGGGATTGGGTGTGGCACAGGGACATTATAAGCCTGAAACTTAAAATGTCGAGTCAATCTCTGTGCTATCACTCGGGTCCCTGCATAATTCTTTCTTGGGAGGCACTGGCAGATTATACCACATTTAACAGCAGCCCTGGCCTCTAACCCACTAGAGAAGGGGACCCAGTAGCAGCACCTCCTTCTCCCTTCTTCCTCTTCCTCCCCCAGACCTCCTCCTCCTCCTTCTTCCTCCTCCACCACCTTCCTCCTTCTCTTTCCTCTCCCATCTGCCCCGCTCTTCCCCTTTCCTCTCTCTCCTCCCTTCCTCCATCCTCCCCCTCCTTTGCACTCGACTGACAATGATGTTAATGTTTCATGCTTATAATGTCCCTGTGCCACACCCATCCCTGAGCGCCAACATCCCTCCCCCTCTGCCTTCTCCCAGCCCAGCTGACTCAGCCCTGTAAGCCGACTCTCTGGGTCTGTGCTCATTAGCCATTGTCTGTTCCTTACTGAATTTCTTCACACTCCGCATATGGGGGAGCTCATGGATGTGCTCACGGGTGTCTGTCCTTCCCCCTAGTTCACTCCCCGCCCGCTGAGCTCTCCAGGTCCCTCCAGATGTCTCGTCATTGCCACGTAGACTCTGAGGAACACGGTTGCCCTTGGGGACCATTGATTTATAGGAAGAATAACTGCACAGTTAGGGAGAAATTTCTCTTTATCACTTGATCTTTCTGAATAAAACAAAATGTTTTGGTCAGGAAACCTTTCAATTTCGGGGGTTTTTTTTTCCTCCCTCACCTTGGACCACCTAAGAAGAGAGTTTACAGAGTTGCAAAGGTTTTAATAGCATGCAGGGGCCTTTGGAGTGACATTAAAAGCAGCAGTGAACACATCTCATGGTGCATTTTTTTTTCTTGGATTATAAAAAAAATCATTTATTTTTTGTTGGGCTGGAGCGATGGCACAGCGGTAGGGCGTTCACCTTACAAGCGGCCAGCATGGCCGACCCGAGTTCGATTCCTCCGCCCCTCTCGGAGAGCCCGGCAAGCTACCGAGAGTATTCGATATGCCAGACACAGTAACAACAAAGTCTCCAATGGAGACGTTACTGGGCCCGCTCGAGCAAATCGACGATCAACGGGAGGGCCTTTACCTTACCTTTACCTTTACCTTTGTTGTGGATATTTATTTTGATTGGTTCTGAGGTTTGTTTTTTTGTTGTGTTTTGTTTTGTTTTCCTCCCTTTTGGTGGTGGTGGTTCAGCCTGGAAGCGCTCCAGCCCGTTTTTATTCTGTGCTCAGGAGTGACCCCTGCTGGCACTTGAGGGATCATATAATGAACAGAGATTCGAACCAGTATCTCAGCAGTAGCAACTGCATACAGAGCAAGCTCCCTAGCCCCTGAGCTGTCTGTCCAGCCCTGTTTTGGTCGGTTCTGGATTGACCTAATTTGAGGCGCAGGGGCGGAGAAAGTCATAAATCACAGCACAAATTATATCCTCGTTTTACTTCTCTATCTTTATCTGAGGAGGGTGCTCCCACTTGGTGCTTGGAGGCCACTCCTCCATCGTTGGCCATCAGAGCTGGCAGGTTGCTGCTGAGCTGGGTGGGCTGTGCTGGAGGCCTCCAGGGCAGGCTACACCCAGTGATACTGGGGCTGCAGGGTGGTACCTGGGACTGAACCTGTGTCAGAGATATGCATTGTGTCCTAAGCTCTGA